TGAAGGCGAAGAGAGATTCCGTTGCCAAGATTGTGGGCAGAGTTTTAGAAAGAAGGAGACGTTAAGCAAGCACGTTCGAAAAGATCACCAGGGCCTGCCTGCACTCCAATGCCCAGAGCAAGGGTGCCGTCATGCTTTCGAGTCCAAGGCGGCCTTGAAGCGACACCGCGATAAGGATCATGGCGAAGCAAAGTTCTGGTGCGGCGAGTGTGGTTTGAAGAGAATGCCCGATGGTACAGAACAGCGGGCCGGATTCACCACTGAAGTGCTGCTTCAGGCCCATATCCGCCAAGAACATCAAAACTGCATTTTCTGCGAATTCAAATCTGCTTCACGATGGGAGCTAGAGAAACATGTCGAAATGCACCATTCCGGCCAGTCCGTTGAGGATCGAAAGAATATCGCCTGCCCATATGACGAATGCACCAAGAAGTTCACCAAGAAATCCAATCTCAACGCTCATATTCGTACAGCGCATGAAGGATTCCGCTTCGTTTGCGGTCAGGTTGACCTCACTAGTTCTGGCCTGCAGGGTTGGACAAACGATCAAGGCTGTGGTGATAAGTTCAGCACCAAGAGTCGACTAGAAGATCATATCCGATATAAGCACCTCGGCCACGAACGCCCTAAGCTCTCGAAGCCTGAGCCGTCTCAAGACATCAATCTTATTGATGAGCTCTCCGGTGCTGCGAACCAGGCAGAAAGAACGATTTCTTGTCCCCACTGCCATGAAGCCTTCATTCGCTACCACGACCGGGATGCACATGTTGAGCTATATCACCCACCGGCTACCGACCCATCTCTTATCTTAACAGGAGACCAGCTTGACCCTGCCCAGTTCTTCTTCGATGGAAGTTTTCCCAACACAACAAATTGGCCTGGCATTATGCCGGAGGATGACATCTTTGCCGCTACAATGGACTATGGCCCTCCGCGAGATGACTGGCCGGAGGACGAAACCAATATACTTCTGCTGGCGAGAGATCCAGCAGTACAGGATCCTCTTATCGACCCCGCTCTTGGTACTCTCTGAGGCAAAGAAAAGAATTGTTGAGTTGGAATGTTATGGTTTTTAAAAGGTGAAAAATAAAATAGATACCCGGCCGCAAGGCTTGATGGTGGTCAACACATGAGCGGCTGGCTATGACACCGACACGATGTATGAAGAATGAATTGCAACGTCACAAAAGAGATGAGGAAAGTTATGATGAAAGAAATAAAGTTGTTTGGCCGAGTTTACCCAGTTCTCACGTATAGTGAAATTGTTTCCTTTCTATCGGTCTACCGAATGCCGAAACCCAGAATGATTTTATGCCCCTCCCAATGAAACCCAATTGCACCCTACCAACACCACGCAAGAAAATGAGCCAAGTAATGACAGGAACGAATGTCAAAGCGGCAGCACGTCCAGCATAGAAGGGTACTGGCTAAGTATTTATATATCTTGTATGAGGCCGAAGATCTAGTGAGAGCCAACCAAGGCGTTACTGAATCCCAGTAAAGCCATGCCAAGGAAGCCAAAGAAGATGCAGAGGTTACGGCTATGGTTGAGGCTCAGACTCTCCACAAACAACTGCAATGCGACACTAACCATGATGCCGGAAGTGATAGCGAAGAGACACCCGTAAGCAACTGCGTTGGGTTGCATATTGGTCTTATCGGCGAGCTTGAACCATAGTGCAGCAATGCCCGCACCAATGGGTTGAGACAGACCACCGAGGAAGGCCGACCACGCCATGGCGCGCCAGCGAGAACCCAGAGCCATGTATAGCGGCAGACACATGGCGAAGCCTTCAGTGATGTTATGGACAAACAGAGCCATGAAAACGTTGAAACCTAGAGATGGGTTTACGTGGTTGGTAGCGTAGGTGATGAATCCTTCAGGAAACTTGTGCAGGGCGATAGCAATAGAGGTCTGAAGGCCAATGGACAAGAATGCATTTGTTGGAACGTGATGATGATGTTGAGCTTCGACATCTTCGTCTTCTCCTGCAGAGGAGCATGAGCTATCGTGTTCAGAGAGTTCCTCCGGGACTATCGGATCCAATGGCTCTCGTGACTTGGCTCTGCTGGTTCGATATGTTGGTCTCGCAAAGGGCTCAACAGAGTCCTCACATCCATTCTCATGCTCATGCTCATGATCGTGGTGAGCATGAGAATATTCGGGAGCGCGGTTCAGGAATGATCCAGTGGTCGTGCGCAGAATCTGGGTCTGTCTTCCAGGTCTGCTTGGTAGACTGGCTCGGCTACTTAGATGTTTGAAGCACTCTTGTCCACAAGGGTCTGTGAATCCATAGCAGGAGTTCGACTCGTCACAGTTGCACTTTGTATCTTGTACAAAGGACATGACTCGCTTGTGAACTTCTCGCATGGACTTCCTCCTCTCAGGGAAGCCATCCGTAAGTCCAGTGGTGGTGCGGCTTCGTGTTGGACTAGCAGGGCGTCGGAATCCATCACGAGCAGACGCTTGTCTCTTGAGAGTCTGCGTAGGACTATCCAAAGTGGATTCTAGCAGAGGTGTGGACTCGGTCGCGGCATTTTGTCCGTTGCCGTTGTTGGTTAACTTGGAAAGCGGCTTGTTGACAGGTGCTTGTTCAGGCGGCGGATGGGAAGATTGGCGACGACGGGCGCGAGACTGTCTCCTCTCGTGGTGACATGAGGTGTCTTTGGTTGCATTCTCATCGTGTGTATGATCGCATTCGACGACGTGGGTAGGCATGAACTGGTGAAGCAATCGCGAAACTCCTTGAATGCCGATGAAACCACCAGCAAAACAGGACATCATAACCAGGCCAGCAGCTTGAGTAGACCATTTGGCCTGCTGGAAATATTCTTTTGACTCCGGTAGCATACTATACAATGCGGAAAATAGCTGTTCTTTGTTAGCAGAAGAGATAGATGCTGCCAGAGGGGCCTTACCATGACACCAAAACTCAAGCTGAGAGAGCAAGCTAAGAAGACATTGCTATCCTGAATGCGAAAGTTTCTCTTGCCAGGAAACAATCGAACGATAACGTCAACGCATACTATGGAGGCGCCAACAACGCAAGCTGAAAAAGGTTGTCAGAACTGTACCACGAAGCGCATTGGGGTCTTGGAGATGAGGAGCAACTCACCAATGCCGCTGACAACACACATGATCCAGCCGCGAGTATCATTGTCGAGGCTGCTCTGGCCCACGGATGTGGCCATGCTGCTTAGTTAAGTGTATCTATCGTATCGTCTGCGTATTAACTGATATTGCGCCTAGGAACAAGCTCTGGTGGCAAGGCTAAGTGTGAGTTCCGAGAGGGATCAAGACTTGACGTCGAGGTTGTGTGATGGGCGCAAAGAGGCAAGAGCAAAGAAGCTGTACTGTAGATCTTTTTGGTTCTAGGTCTGACGTAGCGAACGAGCAGGGGAATATCGATGCGGTTTTGTTTAGCGCAGTGGGCGGGGACCTTGTTAGTCTACCTAGGCTCGACTCAAATATCTAATCAATGACAACGAGAGTCTCCAGTGACAAAGAAGAGGACAAAGGGGTTGATAAAAATGTTTTTGCATGCGACGAGGAGAAGATAGATAAGTTTGAGGCTGAATGTGAGTTTCAAGGGCCTTGCAGAGGCGTCAATGACAAAAAGGATGGGGCTTTGTTAATGCGCATCACCTTCAGCCTGGGTCTGACGGCAATGGATGGATCATGATAGAACAAGGAAACCACGTCTAGGCCCTAACATGAGGAATTGTTCTTTTAAGAGAGCCCGGGTTCCTATATATTTCAACCTATAAATAATTAGCCCCTTAGAACCCTTTTAGAGGATCGAGTTGGGGGTCAACTTACACCATCATGAGGCCGTGCGTCTCCAGCAAAACTATCCCTCAAGGTTCTCACGTCTCAGCATCTGCGCATCATTGGATCACGGCGTCTCGTTGACCGCCTGGCTTACGAATTGCCATGCCTCTTTTGATTGTAGCAGCTGTAACGAGTAGTAAAACAGTGAGACATCAGTTGATAGTGCGTTATTAATTATAGCGATCCCCATAACTCCCCTAGTATCGTGGGGGTTGTATTATTTGTGACTTGAGTACAGAGTAGCTATTCCCATCCAATATTATACAGTAGAGTCATTGGTTCCTTAATATCAAGCCTAGTTCTATAGACGTCTTCCTATCGCTGTGCAAGTCAAGCATATAAAAACTATACCTCCTCTCATCATGACGCCTCATACCTTGTCTGAGCTAAAGTTTCAAGATGCGATTTGCGCGCGAATCAATTTCTCGTCTTTGTCATCCCCCACATCATAGGTTATGCTACCCATGCTGCCATGATATTCGCGACGATCCACGCTAACACGAACCTACATAATGTGATCTTCCACTGAGCCTCAACCCCGAAATGCGTCTCCAAGTTAAAAGACCTCGAGAATTACAGTTGCTCTCGATGAACTCGTGTCTTGTCATACACGGCAACTTACATTCTCAAGTCTCACAAGCCACGCACCTTGCTGAATCAATCTGAATCATACAGTGTCTAGAACAATCCCTACATGATTCATATCCTGCCTTACCTCGAATCCATGCTATGCGTAAGGCAAGCAGACGCTTAGTATCCGTTACTCTTATGCATTTCCCTGTGTTCAAGTTGCGGGATCTAACGATACTCCATATTTGACTGTTCTAGGTATTGCCTTCGAACTTCGAACTACCGCCTAGTGACGTCAAACCACAGGCCCCGAGACCCCTAAAATCCCCCCCGATAACGGCAAAACAACGGCCCCCACGTTCCGTTCCCGAGCTCAGCTCCCAAAATTTCTAAGAGTCGGCTCCAAAGCTCTCTCAAACCCTGTGATCGATCTCAATATCACGAGGCACTGCAACTCAATACCATTGGGCAAAGATCGCGCGTGATCTGACTCCCAGGCACCGATTTCTCATATACTATTATCCGTCCGCTCATTAAGATCAAACTTTATTCTACCTTCCTTTTTCGTAGCCTCGTCTGTTCTTAAGGGATAATAATCATGTCCAAGACTACTCTCGCTACTATGGCCTGCCTAGGCGCAGGAGGTGGTGCTGCTATCACTGCCGCCATCTACTCCATTCGAGGCGGTAAACGTGTCGAGGAGACCAATACTCTAGCTACGCCTCCTCCGTCAACCTCAAACTCCTTCGCCGCTCTTCCTGCTCCCACCGCCTCTCCCGCCGTTCCTCCCACCCAAGTCTTCGGACCTCCAGCCACTGCGCCTTCCGGTTTGCCAATCGACCCAAGCGCAATCGTCAACCCTGGGGGCCTCTTCGACTACGGCTTTCCAGGCCCTATCGCCGATGTCGCCAACCGCTCTGGCCTTGTCTCTTCCTACGATCGTCGTACACGAAACCCTCACTGGGTCGTCGAACATATCACACCTGCTTCTCTTGCCATTCGCGATGGTGATCGAAAGCACAGCAGCTTTCTTGAGGATGATTCTGTGCCACAAAAGTTCCGGGCTCTGTTGAAGGACTACTACCGCAGCGGTTACGATCGTGGCCATCAGGTCCCTGCTGCCGACTGCAAATGGTCTCAGAAGGCCATGGACGACACTTTCTACCTCACAAACATGTGCCCTCAGGTCGGCGATGGCTTCAACCGTGACTACTGGGCTCATTTCGAGGACTTCTGTCGTCGTTTGACAGTCAAGTATCCCTCAGTTCGCATCGTCACAGGCCCTCTCTATCTTCCCAAGAAGGAGGCAGATGGCAAGTGGTACGTCAAGTACGAGATGATCGGCACTCCTCCTTCAGTTGCTGTGCCCACACACTTCTACAAGGTGATCTTTGCTGAGGATGGTCGCGTTAGTGGAAACGTCGCGCTGGGCGCTTTCGTTCTCCCTAACGCCCCCATCTCTAACTCTAAGCCTATCACCGATTTTGAGGTTCCTCTTGAGGCTGTTGAGCGTGCTAGCGGTCTCGAATTTGCTACCAAGCTACCACCTCAGCGAAGACGACGTCTGTGTTCTGACCACACCTGTGCCCTTGTGATTCGAGACTTCGCGGATAAGCAAAAGGCGTTCCCTAAGAAATAGATGGTTACCAAGCATTTGTAAAGTTGAAAGGGGAATATTGGTCTCTGCATACAGGAATGAATGGCATGAGGTGCTCTATGGCCAGGCTCAATGGATTTATAACATATACGGCTGCATATGAGAGCGTCACATTTATGTTACATGTTTTAGCATTTAGAATTATATGCACCACCAATAGCATGTGCATCTTGCCTACGGGCTCAAATGAATGATGGGTATACAAAAGTTTTCGATTGATATATACATTACAGTTTTTGAAACCTGTGCCATATTCCGTAAGGATACAGTGTATGCTTGCTTTAGTTGCAAACAGTCAGCATTACGTAGACCACCAGCGCCAGAGGGTATCGAATCATCGACGTTTCTTTTTCTGGATTCCCTATCTCGCTCTCGTGTATTTCCCTTGTCGTTGTTCGTGGCGCAAACTCTCCTCTTGACTAGGAAGAGGAGCTCTCCGTCGGGCATCTGCCTTGTCGGCATCAAATCCAGGCATGGGAGGTGGTGGGACAGGCATGGCGAAGCCTCCTGGCGGAGGAGGCATGCTGCCCGGTGGTGGGATGAGTCCAGGGGGTAAGGCTCCTGGTGGTAGAGCTCCTGGTGGTGGGAGAGGCACGCCGGCCTTCTTCATAAGCTCGAGGAGTTGAGCTGGATCTGGAGGGTTATTGGGATCCAGTCCAGGTAAGGGAGGCGGAGGCGGACCGCCATTGAGTCCAGGTAAAGGGAATGGTAGAGGAGGTGGAGGAGCTCCTGAGCCAGCACCGACACCAGGAATGGGAGGAGGTGGAATACTTGAGCCAAGGCCGGGTAGGCCTCCACCAAGAGGCAGTCCAGGAATACCAGGCAGTCCAGGAACAGCAGCTTTCGGTGCGTCTTGGTCAACAAGAGCGTCCATCTCGTCTTCCATCTCTTGTTGTTCCTCCTCCTGGCGCTGCCGACGATTACCACGGCGGTCCCAGGTTCCTTGGGCCTCGGCCGCTGCTTCACCGATATGGTAGCGATCTTGGAAAACATCTGCATCTCCAGGTCTAGCACGGCTCCAGAAACGCGTAATTCGGTCGTTGGATCCTGATGCCAGAATGTGTCCGAGAGGGTGCCAGTCGAGGGACCAAATAGCATAATCATGAGCAAAGGGCACCTTGTGCATTGGCCATACCGACTGGGCGGCTACTGACGACGGGTCAGGGCTGTCGTAAGGAGCAACGGTGAAAGATTGGCCAGGAGGTGGGTTTGGTGAATCGAGTAGATAGTGGAATAGCGAGCCGTCCATACCGCCAGTACTGAGAAGATTAGGGTGGATAGGATGCCATGTGAGAGTGGAAATATCCTTCTCGTGGCCTTTGAGAAGGCAGATATCACGCATCATGCGAAGATCGAAAACACGAGCGGTCTGGTCTCTTGCAGATGTGGCGAGGCAAGCACCACGGACCTTTTCAAACAGTACTTTTGTTATAGTACTCTTGTGACCGTGTAGAGTCGTTAGACAGCGGCTAGTACGAGGATCCCAAAGCTTGACAAGATGGTCCTTGGAACCAGATACGAGTAGTCCCTTGGTAGGATGCCAATCCACACTTTTTGCATCCCATCCGTGTCCTTCAAGCTTGGATTCCATTTGTCCCAGAGCAAAGTCAAAGATCTTGAGGGTCGAATCGTCGCTTGCAGTGACGAACTTGGAATCACTTGGACTGAAAGCAAGGTCTCGAATAGGGTCAGTATGGGCGTTGATGCTCTGAACATTGTTGAAGTTTGGCTGCCAGTACTTGATAACTCCATCGTGATCCGCCGAGATAAGCCAGTCGTCACTATGAGAATATTCCAAAGCACGAATGGCAGAATCGTGAGCCTGCATAATGGTTTCGAAATTGAAGCCTGTTCCGTTCCATAGTGTGAACTCGCCACTGGTCGACGCTGTTAATAATCTTCGACCTTCTGGTGTCCACCGCACTACGTTGATGGGATGCTTGATCTTATTAAGAGAAGAGTGGAGGTGCTTGATAGGGATACTGTCGGCAGCTTTTGTGACACGCGCTGCAGGGGGAAGCATCTATTTTGATGTCAGTCAGGGAGAAGTTGTTCATATAGAACGCTACTCACATCAACGATATAGCTAACGCTGGGTCGCTCAGCTTCGCCAGTATATCCTCCCCTATAGCTAGGGGCACGATCATGTTGCCAGTGTGTTATAGTGGCGCCATAGTCAGTCACAGGTCCTGGAGTTGAAGCGTCAGTTTGAAATCAGTTATGATTTAAGTCTTCAGGTTATGATGTATGTGTACTCGAATGCCTCCTCATAGCCCCAGAACGAACCCCTGCCTTTAAGCATGAGTTTGGCCAAAACCAAACATCTTGATTGCTCGTCTGAACAACAATCGTCCCTTGAACATACATGGAATAGAGACATTTGATGTAGTAGCATCTCTCCCACAACTTTCATATTTTTCTGCCACTGAGCAGCTTGACAATGCAAACACAACAGGGGACATGTCACTGAGTATGATGGGTAAACTTACGCCTGCCTCGGACCTTGACGAATGCCCCATCTTGGCCCTGACCACCACCATGATCACCACGAGGCTCATAGGCCATCGTGACGGATTTTCTTTGGCGTATCAAGCATGCACAATAGCTTTGAGAAGCGCGTCGAAGGGAGTGGGTCCGTCAAGATGGAAACGAACAACTAATACAGGTATCAAGTCGCTGTTGGATAATCTCTGGGTAGTTGACCAGACGGAATCTCTATATGGTGATGATGAGAATTTTAATTCCTGTAATAAGACGTCGGGGGCGGCGATTTTATTTGATAGAAGATGAACAAAGACGATGCTGTTACTTTCGGCGCGTGAGCTTCCAGTTGAAGTTCAAAGGTACGAAGCGCCGATTCAAGCGATGATTAACCGGCCAGCCTCAGTTTTGGAGTCAGGCCTTTCTCCAAAAACTCCAAGTCACATGACCTTTCACTCTCCAAACTTTGAGACTCTCAACGGTTAGATCTGATGAGATAAAGTGCCTAGAGTGCCTCTGCTAAAGGATGCACATGCCTGAATATCCTTTCGTATACCGAATTGTTGGGGCGCAGATTCGTCACCCACGGGCTCTACCCGAGCTTATGTACTGCGTTAGTTCGCTCATGCTATGACTGTTGCATCTCACCAACAGCATGCAATACAACCGCACTTTCACATGCTTTCACATTGATTGATCCAATATCAGTCGCAAAGTTGCAAGCCTTCTGGGGCCTGCGCGACCTGTTGCCGCATACCTTCCCCCCTGCGGCGCCACAAGCCAGTGGCTCGGGGGAGTTCGTCGATCCATTAAAACGCTCAGAATGCAGCGGAAGCCAGGGGTGTTATGCTCCCGGCCCCCCCTTTAGCGTTGATGATTGTCTTTAGCCTCACTGTAAAAGTCCCTGAGCTGCTGCTAAAAATGACCAGAGCGAAAAAGCTCAAACAGCCCCGCCAGAAGAGGCGCCAGAATGGTTGCTCTGCATGATAGTACTAACTTCTAGGTATTGGACTTGGCGAGATGGGATAACTCAGGCAGAAAGTGAGGAGAGAGGCCGTAGCAAAAGAAACTCAATTGATTGTGTGTCTTTAATTGGAATTTCTCTTCCACCTCCTTTTTTTCTCCGACCCTTTATCTCCTACATTCCTGTGATTTGATAAACCCTTTAACGTGCTTTATCTCGAAGCTGTAGGTGGTTCATTCACTGCGACAGTGGCGTTCTCGGTATCTTATCATCCTTGTAACAAACGCCGCCACCCAAACAACTTGACGTTGACAAGGTCGTCGTATCTCCGTCGGCTACTCTGCTCAATTCTTTCTTTTATTTTCTTCTCACCTAATTTCTTGAGCTTCTACCTTTTGCGCGATTAGTCTGCCGTCTAGGCAAGGCTCTCACAAGATGAATTCGGCTACAGCGACGAGCATAGAAACCTCGAATGGTTCGGCCTCTGTCTCCCGGCGAAGCGGCCACGACGTCACACAGAACGAACCCAACAATCGCACCAACGGAAACGGTAACGGAACGGCCACGACCAAAACTCCAAAGAAGCCTGGCCAGAAGTACAGACACGTCGCTGCGGTTCACAAACAGACGAGACCTTCATGTCTGAGTCACGATTCCGATGCTGCCCCCAGCTTTATTGGGTTCCGTAACCTCATGGTCATTGTGCTTGGTATGAGAGCTTCGATGCCCCTCATCATGATGTTATCTGTTGGGTTATTAATGCTTGGCAGTTGTTGGAAACTTGCGATTGATGATTGAGAACATCCAAAAGGTATGCTTCATCTCCCGTCCATCAATTTCGCCTTCGACAACCAGCTAATACTGTCTATAGTATGGAGTATTGATCTGCGTGAGGTGTCATGATTACAGCCGTCAAGATATTTACTTGGGTCTACTCCTTTACTTCCTCATCCCATGCCATCTCCTCGCCGCTTACTTGATTGAGCTGGCTGCTGCTCAGCAGGCTCGAGGATCTCTCAAGCGTGTCAATGATTCACCTTCTGGTGGCCCCTCAGAGCAGGAGCGTAAGCGGTTTCATAAGACCTGGGTTGTTGTCGCATGGGCTCATCTTTTCAACATCACTCTTGCCCTTGTTCTCACCACCTGGGTCGTGTACTTCAAGATTCATCATCCTCTCATTGGCACCTTGACCGAGATGCATGCCATTGCTGTTTGGCTCAAGACTGCATCATATGCTTTCACCAACCGAGACTTGAGACATGCCTACCTGCATCCCGTGGAAGGAGAGCGAGAACTGGTACCTGAGCTGTACACGCAATGCCCGTATCCCCAGAATATCACCTTCAGCAACCTGGTATACTTCTGGTGGGCACCCACACTCGTATACCAGCCCGTGTATCCTCGCACAGATAAAATCAGATGGGTCTTTGTGGCCAAGCGAGTTGGAGAAATTTTCGGCCTCAGTGTATTCATGTGGGTTGCGAGCGCTCAGTATGCTGCACCAGTCCTTCGGAACTCGCTCGACAAAATCGCCTCCCTTGACCTGATGTCTATTCTGGAACGGTTACTCAAGCTTTCGACCATCTCCCTAGTCATCTGGCTTGCCGGTTTCTTCGCACTCTTCCAGTCGTTCCTTAACGCCCTAGCTGAGGTTTTGAGGTTTGGCGACAGGTCATTCTATGACGATTGGTGGAACAGTGAGAGCTTGGGAGCATACTGGCGGACGTGGAACAAGCCTGTTTACACATATTTCAAGCGTCATCTGTACATGCCCATGATCGGGCGTGGTTGGAGTCCTCAAGCAGCCAGCTTTGTAGTCTTCCTAGTATCGGCTATTCTTCACGAGATCCTTGTCGGTGTCCCTACGCATAACATCATTGGTAAGTTTACATATTCTGAATCATAGTTACACAACTGACGATTGCAGGCGTCGCTTTCCTGGGCATGTTTCTTCAACTGCCACTTATTGCATTGACCAAGCCTCTTGAAAATATGAAACTTGGGCATACTGGCAAAATAGTTGGGAACACTGTCTTTTGGGTATCATTCACCATATTTGGACAACCCTTTGCAGCACTGATGTACTTCTACGCTTGGCAAGCAAAGTATGGAAGTGTGAGCAAACAGATGACGACAGTGTCGAATTAGAGTGCCTTGGCTATGGACAAAGTTTCTGGATACCTACTGTTTGGTATTGCTTAGCTAACATGTTTACCGTATTGGTACGATACATATTTGATAAACTACTATTAAGAAATCGGTTGCCTATCTTCGTACATCTCTAGTATTACTGTATTTGCATGCGCCTATGGTTAGATCGCCCCCCTCTTCTCTTACATCTTCTAAGCAATGAAAGGAATCTTTGTTCCCACTCTCTTCCGATATTGTACATAATCATCTTGGAAGAACTCGATCAACTTGGCCTCCTCGTGTTTAATTCGCTTGCTGAAGAACATCCAGAGAACAGCCGCATAGGCAAAAAAGCACAGAATGTTGCCCATTACTAGCTGTGTTCCCAGTCCCCAGTAAAAGAATCCAAAGTAGCTTGGGTGGCGGAAGATTGAGTAGATGCCTGAAGTCACCAGCTCGTGGGAATCCTTCTTCCTGGTCTGGACATGATGGTTGAAGCTGGCTCCAGCTTGCAACATGGCCACTGAGCGGACGTACTGTCCAGCAGTGACCATGGCAAGGCCGAGGAGCAGAAGGATAGGACCGGTACCATAGGGTGCCCAGTGTCGATTAGGGAAGAAGAGATTAACAATGGCACACTCGATAAACGCAGCTGAATGAGCGATGGCGTAGCCTGGCCAGTTTGCGGTCAGAAGAAAACTTCCAATGCTAGCCACAAGTGTGTTCTTCTCAGCTGTAGTCCAAAACTCGAGAAAGTGAAAAGCCGAGAGTGCAAAGAGGAAGAACGGAACACGCCAAGCAGGGCTAGAAGTCAAGCACAGAATGGCCCCCATAGAGATAGCACTACAAGCCAAGGTAATACCGAGGCAGAAAGCTCGAAGAGCGATACCGGAGAGTGACTTGGGCTGGCCGGCAAAGTAGGGCTTCAGGATCATGAGTTCGTCCAGAGAGCGAGAGTTGCCGGAGAAGGAGTCATGATGAGGAGGCGATGCTCGATGATGAGCAGTTGAAGGGCTGAAGTTGACGGGTCTAGCACCCGCATTTTGCATGGTTTCAGACATGGTGTTCTTTGATGAAAAGTCAGAAAATAGTCTATACGATCTCATGAGGTCTTCAGGGGTTGATATGAAGCTTGATGAAAGATTAGATGATCAGATGAACGTACAAATTCTGAGAAGAGCCGTGAAGAGAAGAGAAGGACTTGAAAGGCGGTCTTTGGCACTGAAATAAAAAAATGAAAAGTTACTAATTAGAAGGCGTGTTGGCCCTCGTCCCCAAATGGCGTCTGCAGTCTTGGATTGTAAGGCAGAGAACAATATCAAGGTTGTTGGCCTTAGCTCATGAGTTTGGAGGATCTGAGCTTTAGGTAGTGGACCTATCCACCCAGACGTTGGCTCCAGGGTGGCCAGGAAAGTCAAAGTACCGATGAGCTGTAGGTACATGAAGATGCTATCTGGTCCAGGATCAAAAATACTATCAATGTCATAAAAACACCACAAATGACCTCAAGTAATTGTGATCAGGTACTAGACCAGTTCCAGATAATACTGGTGGTGTTTGGGATTCTTTTCTATGTCATTTTATGACTTGGTGGCTCTTTTTGTCTTCTCGTCGGCGCTGATTTTCGAGGCTGGGAGAATCGAACTCGGAATCTGAGGTAGCTTTGAATGAGGGGTACTTTGGAGATGTCAGCTTGCTCGAGACAATGTGACCGCCGAAACTGATATCACAAAGGAGATCACATGTATGCAGGAAGGAAGACGCCTTTCCATGCACGGATAAGCCATGTTGGTAGCACTTAATAAGTCCTAAGGCTTCAAAGGCTCATGTGTGGATATATGCTATCTATATGGAATTGTCTCTAGAAACAACAATGGGTATATTGTAAACAAAGATATGCACCGATTCCCTGAGCTCTACTTTCTTCCAAAGATTTCCACCTGTTAATGCTTCCATGTATGGTATATGGTCGTAGTTTCAATGCTCAAAATGCATGCTCGACAGAGCGCAATTTGAAGTCAACTCAGCTTACTTTGGGCTGGTCTTCGGACAAGTAAGTGGTGTGGAATCGGTGACCTTTCCATATGCCCCTCAAATTAGAACGTAGCTCTTGTGTAGAGAATGAAGCGCAAAATGGCCACCTTCGGGACGTCGTAAGGTATCTGTGGTTTGTGATAGATCGAAGCTGGTCTCCAGTCCAAGGTAGAATATTATGTGAATGGTGATCCTTCCTCAAAGTCCGCCCTGGATTGAGAAAGAGGAAATAATGAGTACCAATACGTTGATGAACCCCCAGGTGCAAGGAATCCAGGTGTTCATCTCGTAGTATCCAGCAGAGTAAACAGCTCCCAACCTAATAATTTGTTAGCCAAGGTGGTTTGCAAGACTAACACGGCTTACACTAAGCCAACAATACTCCCGGCCATGACAGCCTCAAGCCCAGCGATAAGGAGATAGATGACAGGTACTGCCCATAGATATCTCCAAGACGACTTCTTCCAACCGTGGGTAAACATGGCAATCAGAACTGCCCCCATGTGGAAGCATGCATATATGATGAGCGTCCATAGTAAAGTAAATCGCCAAACATCTAAGACATAGTAGAGGGTATATTGTTTGTCTGCGGTGGTGTCATATAGAGTCTGCACGTTCAGGGACGGGAAGCGCGGCGTCTGATAGTCTGCTGGAGGAGTATTTGGCAGGGCCATCTATCGTTTGTATTGATTAGCGCTTTGCTTGAAATAAGGACAGAACTAAACCTGAACATACCCTGCCATCATGGAGGCTGCAACAGCTCTCAACTTGGCCGATTCTTGCGGTGTCGTTAGGAATAGGATTGAATATGATTAGGTATGATTATGGGGTGTTGGAATTAGCAGTGACAGGGGGCAGGGGTGCCAAGGTGCCTGCTACTAAGGTTAGGTTCTGATGGAGCTGAAAGTGTCCCCAGAACGTCATCCCCAGGCCTCGGCAAAAGCCCGTGAAGTCGGCATGCGCAACCGCGACCTCGGAATTGTCAACCTCCACTAGATCCTACATCAACACTCCATCGACAACTCCCTCTCGTTCACCATACAATCCGAATGCGTCGATATGTCTTCCGATAGACTCCTCCGAACAGTTTTGCAGCATTACCCAGACATCCACGATGCTGCAAAGACCGAGCAGATCATCGGGTCGACAACACATCTCCTCACCGAGCTCACAAACCCTCTAAATCTCGGCCTTCTCACGTCGCAATTGTTAACGGCCCCTGCGATATGGTTTCAGCCAGGCGGCATTCGCACTTCGGTTCGAGTTATCAGCATATACAATACCGCGGCCGCGCGCATCCATAACTATGAAGTCGCTAATCGCGATCGGAAAGAACCCCATGAGGGTGGTGGACTGAGCTGCGAAGAGTGGACGCGCGCCGTGGTCAAAGGAGCGGACGATCGATCGAGGCGGTGGCAGCACCTTTTAGTTCTGACTGGTGTTCTTATGGGAATGGAGTCTAGTAATAGGCACTCATTGTCGCGTGGCATGAGGAATACTCTTGAAGAGGCGGTAGTGATGGCGGCCAATCTGGCACTCGAGAGTCGCGACGAAGATGGTCCGGTCGCAGGCGCATCGGTTGTTATGGCACTTAACTTTGCCTTTCCGCTACTGTCTGACTTCCATCGAAGCCTCATAAACTGCAATGCGCTGTTGCCTCTTATTGTATGGACGGTAACAGCTGAGGAGGGCCTCGGCCACGGCCAGTTCTTGGCGGCAGTGAGCTCCGAGGTTGTCGAATCACCAAACCACCTCCTCGCATGGTCACCAAATACACCCTCGTTTCGATTCATCCAAGAGCTGGATAGGCGACCTACTCTAACCAACATGGGGCCGTTGGCGAAGCTTGCTGGGTATGCTGTTCAACAGGCTACAGACACAGAGGCTGTGATCGCCGCACAAGATGCTCTTCTTGCCTTTAGCAGCCAGGTATTGGAGATGTGGCGGTTGAATCGTTTGAGCGACATAGATCCAGCGCTTGAGGGCAATGTGCTGACCCAGGAGACCATTACAAGCACCTGGCCAGTTCTATGGAACCTGCTGAGGAAGCTCATGTTTGGGACGGTTGCTATTCTGCAGGCGATTGTCTCACGAAGTCTCCTCGACCCGCGCATGCTCAATGATATGGCTGCTCCTGTCATTGCGTCAAAATCTCTTCGAATATTACGCAACATCTTCTTTATCTCTTCAAGGAACGGCAACAACGCGTTCCAAGTGTACAACTTCACATACCTCACTTCTATCGACTCGATCTCTCGGAGTGCCCCTGCTTGTCACAGCTTCCTCCAGGAATTCCGACCATCTGAAGATGCATCAACATCAACGACATATCTAAAAAGAACCTTGGACCTATTTTACCTTAATATCTCTGAACACTTACCACTCACTCTGCCAACCGATGCATGCGATGCTCTTATAATCAAACCAGCAATTGCATATATCTCACACGAAGGACCTACGACACAAAATATGGTTGAGATCTTTGAATCCGCACATAGCGCTATTCTATCAACCATATCTTGTCCTCAGCATAGCCCTCTCACCATTGAACTCACACCTTTCTATATCGCTCTGCTGTTCAACTCATTCCCGCAGCATATCTCCTCCCGTCAATTCAGAGTGGCCTTCAAGACTGTAATGCAGATTGTATCACCTCCCTTCCCCATTGCAGAGCTGGAGCCGCAGCTATCGGAGACACTTCTGGAGATGCTTCGAGCTTCGATTTCCACGGCGTCGACGAGTCTGCTACCACCAACAGCAGATACCGTCGCACAAGCTGCGATGGAAGAGACCCAGGAGGAGCGTCATTCTCAGCAGAGTTCACTTGCTTTAGCTCTAGTTGATTCACTTCCATACCTCCCTCTCCCTCTGGTGGAAGAATGGTTTACGATTGCTGCTCAAGCCATGAACGAAATTGAGGATCCCGTACTAAGGGAACCAGTCAAGCGACGGTTCTTGCAGATTCTCGTTAGTGGAGAGCTAGACGTGGAACGAGCAGCTATTGGGGTAGCTTGGTGGGGAACTCGAGGAGGTCGAACACTGATTCTCGGTGCAAGCGCGGAACCTGCCATGATGAGCGGCGCGCTTCCTGGGCCTGACAGGTCTAGCCATCTGTAAAGATGACATCCTTCGGCACAATGTTGCCATAGTGTGCATGCACTGTTCTGGATGAATTCTTGACCTTGCCGGGTCAGAAAGTGTATGTTTGCCGCAAAGTCAAAGACAAGCTTGTTGCACGTTACATTAAGGATGTAATAAAGTAACCCAAGCGGCAGTTATTAGCAACTTTAGTTACACCCTGGAATGATGACGTTGTGAAACATTTCAAAGGGGTTTCGGGTTGTTGGGCTGATCATCTGGCTATCGTGGGAAACCCCGCAGGAAGCATTTGGGCGTTACTGGTGTTGGGCTTGTTACCGCGAGTCTTGATGCAATTGTGTCATTTGTGCTTGAGTATCTAGCCTCAATAGGCGATTTGTGCTCGAGGCAGATCGAGATCTACTAGGAATTGGGTATGTCTCCGTTGAAGAAGCCGGACACGCCGGGCGACGATAGTTTGCTGAGAACGGGCAATCACCACACGTGGGGAGACAGAGTATTGGACAGGGCACGAACTGGATGCCCAGAGGTTTGACTTAGCTTGGATGTCTTTGTTGGTGTGGTGGTCTGAGGAATACATACCGAGCAGCGAGGCGTGTTGGCCTGCCACCAACTCATACACACGTGAACTTGTTTGGGGGCAAAGATTGCAAGCTATACCCGGCTCTTATAAGATAATACGACCTTAATTGATATGAAAATCTGGGAATGCACTCATCAATATCAAGGAAGCAAGCTACGATAAGCAATCGAAGGATCAATTACCAAGGCAAAGGTCCTGGTGAAGCGGGGTTACTATTGCTGCAGCACCTATTCTCTCACTATCAAGAGTGAGCAGTGTTGTTCTGGAACCTGAGCGGGGAGTCAAGACAAGGTTGCTAGGCCCGATTCCGGGCGCGATCTTGACTTAGACCCCGTCTTGGCAAATGAGGGGAGGGAATGTCACTCAGACAATTTCATCCTCTGATGCCGATTCTTCCTCTCAAGCGTCCTTTTCTGCTTCACCTTGTCTCTCATGCGTCATGGCGAAGCTTCAGGCCAAAGTTCATGTCCGTTGCTCCTCGGCTTTGATCTGAGTCGATCATCCGGGCCCTGAAGATCTGGACTCTTCTTGTTAGACCGCAACTTGGTTCTTGATGCCGATAGCTTGGCACCGATACAGCTCAGAGCTGGCATAGCCTCAGTCCGTGGAGCCTACAGGTCAGCTCGTCCAGGTTCTGGGACCTGGCTTGGACCCTGCAAAGCTGGGTCACGGAGGGTCCGTTCATTGCTTGTTTGGCCTAGCGTTTCCCTGTTAGATCAAGGCTAATGCGCTTTTCAGGCAGATCAATGGCCTGAGAGGTTTCAATACGTACCTTGCCTGAGCTATCTCATCACAGACAAGAAACATGACGACACCAGAAAAGACAAGCTGAGACGCGCTGATCGTGCCAATTGCTTGCAGAAGAGGCTGATTCGTGGGAATGTCGCACTCACTGGCTAAGCAATGCACAAACAACAGGTTTTTACCGAAATGCAAATATAGTACAGAGTGATAGAGGGGTTGGAGAGGCATCAAGGGACCCAAGTATCGTGAGAGGTATCTACGTTCGATTTCTTGGCAGGGTCTATCATGGAGAGCTTATTCCAAGGACATTCGGGTTACAGCGAGTCCCAAGAATTTGATCATCGGCTTCAAATTCCTAGGCTAAACTTAGCTTTGGGCTGGGTACATGTACCTCATGGCACGACAGCTACAGCATGTAGCTCAGTCAACGCGCGTTCCTTGTGGGACATGATCACATCGTGTCAAGATTCTGATATCCATCTACCAAGTCTCGCAGGTTGCAGGGTACGTACTGTACATGGGGTGTTCCGAAGCTAAAACATTCTGCTAGCTAGTCCATGCAGCTTCAGCTTTCTAAGACAAGGTCTATGCCACAATGGAACAGCGGCACGTCATTCCTCCCTGTGATGGATGAGGGATGAGAGAGGAGGGGGAGGGGGAGCTTGTTGATCCACATGATGAAGATGGGGAGCTCCAAGTTAGCTTGGAGGGGGAGGCAGGGAGGGAGCTTCTCTCACATAGGTATTAAACAGAAGCTTGCCCTCTCATGTTCGGACTATTTCCCATTCATGCTATTGCACAATCTATCTATCTACATCACCAACTATCTATTCTCTCTCAAACCAAACCCCCCCCATAATCAACATGTCTGACAGCTACGGTGACAACAGCTACGTATGTTCTCCCAGCTCTATCTACCATCTCATAAAGCTAACTCTCCCTCAGGGCTCCAGCCGCCGCGACAACGACAACGACAACAGCTACGGTTCTTCCAACCGTGATAACGACAACGACAACAGCTACGTACGTTCTTCTCATCTTATAACCTTTCCCATCAACGCTCACTCACACGTAACAGGGCTCTAGCCGTCGTGACAACGATAACGACAACTCGTATGGCTCTGGCAACAACAACAACAGCGGCAGCTACGTGAGTGCATACTAGTCCTCTATACTCGCACATACTAACGTAGCTCAGGGCTCATCTGGCCGCGACAACAGCGATTCGTATGGCTCTAGCAACAACGATTCATACGGATCCAGCAACAATGACTCTTATGGCTCAAGCCGTCGTGACAATGATAACGACAACTCTTATGGCTCGTCCGGTAACTCTGGTCTGAGCGGCGGCAACGACAGCTACGTAAGTGAACTATCATGCCAAATAAATCCTTCATGACTAACATGAATACTAGGGCTCCAGCCGTCGCGATAATGACAACGACAACTCCTACGGCTCCAGCAACAAGGACAGCGATTCTTATGGATCCAGCAACAATGACTCTTACGGCTCCAGCAACAAGGACAACGACAACTCCTATGGCTCCAGCAACACCGACTCCTACGGTTCCGGTAACAAGAGCAGCGACTCTTATGGCACCAGCACCAGCAACACATACGGCTCTGGCAACAATGACAGCTACGGCTCTGGCAACAATGACAGCTACGGCTCTAGCAACAACGACTCTTATGGGTCTAGCAACAAGGACAACGATTCTTATGGTTCTAGCAACACATACGGATCTGGCCGTGACAATGACAACGACAACGACCGATCAGGTGGTTTCCTCGACAAGGTCAAGGACAAGGTTGAGGACAAGCTCAGGGGAAACAAGAACAGTGGTGACAACGACTACTAAGTATGAATGTTTGAGAGAGATTCTAGCGTGTTAGTGTTAGCTACTTATTGAGTGAGATGATATATTCCTCGCTCCTGAATTGAATTTCATTTGTGTCTATGTGTTTTCAACCCGATGTCTTGTGAAGTATTTGTTATGAGATCCCTCGTGTAAGCCATTTCAAAGAACAAGGTAATGCTATTATTTGTCATTTCAACCATATTGTACCCGTCACTGTCTTGATACTTGAGCGACACAGACATGTCACGTCTTTTCGGGTCCTGTCGCTGGTTCGAATTGAATAAGTAGTATTAATCTTGGTGAAAATCGCTCTCATTGTATGCATATGCAGGATAAATAGAACACAAACTCACATCATCGTTATGCCGCTTCATCCCAGCTAAACCAACTTCTTATCAACCTTGATAAGGATCGCACCATCCGTGATGCGACCCTCACAATCCATGAGATGCACAAACCGATACCCACTACCCAGCCTATCAAGTCTCATACAAGCCCAAGCCGCCAAGTCATCCCTTCCAATCTCATCATCACGCACTGTAAATCGCACCCATGAGAGTTCGTCGACGACATGAGGCACAGGGGGGAATTCGAGACGTTCACCAGCAAAGTCAATCATGTTGCCACGGTGTGTCTTTGTGCGGGCCTTGTATTCACCCTCGCGCTCGTGTCCTTCGTTAGGGACAGGGCCGCCGTGGAATTCATCAGGTCCTTCGACGTGAAGCTCGACTTTGACATAGGGCTCAAACCCTCTGGTAGAGGTGTCGCCTGGTGGGAGTGGGATGTTTTGAGCGGCGAGGACTGTGATTGTGAGATGGAGCGATTTCCGGGTGATGGTGTTTTCGGTTTCTTCGTCGTTGCGGTTTGGACGGTAGCCTAGTAGAAGTTAGACGGATGGTTCGTGAGACGGCTTAGAATGAGTATGTACCTTGAGGTTTGAGGACATATCCTCCTGTTCCAGCAAACATGCCTTCGTTGAGCATCATGCCCTCATCCCACCTCTGCCAATTGAGCGCAACGATCTGAATACCCTTGCGCCAGAAAACAGAAGGGTCGAGATTGGACGATCCTATTCGCAGACCCCAAGGATAAGTTCTCATGAGGAAGTGTCGGTTGTGGTTGAACAGATCCGATGCTTGCTTCTCGTGCACATCGATGACCTTCTTCTCTGACAGGGAAAATATGTGTGTGGGCATGCCAGCTTCTGGCTGTGTCAAGCTCTTGAAAGACACACCTCGGGCATGGAAACCCATACGACTCAGCTCTTGTATAATCTTTGCCGGCTTCTTTGGCGGAGCATCGCCAGCCTGAGCACCAGGGGCTGGCGCTCTGTCTTCCTCCTCACTCTCCTCTTGAGTGGCATCTGCACCGGGTGGTGCATACTTAACCTTGACGATGAGCTTTCGACGCAACTCATCTGGGCTGGGTAGAGCATCAGGTTCGTTCTCGGGCTCGGGAACGAGAAGATCGCCCCAGACTTCCTTCATAATGCGGACCATGGCAAGTTGCTGGTCCGGTTTGCAGTGGACTTCAAGAGAGACAATGACGGGCAAGTCGCTAACAACAAAGGCGCTCTCGCGAATGGCCTCGCAGACAGCCCGGAAGGAAATCTCCTTGGTGAGGGTGTAGCCGTGGAGCACACGGGGCTCAACGATAGCAGCTTCGGGCTCCGTGGACTCGGGATCGGCGCCGGGAGTGGGAGCGGGAGCGGGCTGTTGGCCGGAGGCGGGGTCGGGGTCGGAGGACTCATCCTTATCACGGAGACTCGTCTTTGCGAGCTTTTCTTTGAGTTTTCCAAAAGTGCTTCTCTTTTTCGTCTTTTTCACGACTTTCTTCACACCTCTCTCCTCATCGCTGCTGGAA